CCTAACGCATTATTTTATTCAGAATATCGTCTCCGCGCTTCGTCGTGTAACCGAGTGGCAAGCTGCGTTATTTATTTGTTTACTGACCATGGGGATATGTATGCCTACAGACGTGATGTTGGCTGACTTGCATAACGTTGTAACATTAAAAAGAACGTGAACTCTTTTTAACATTTTCTTCACGATATGTCTTTTAAGATTACCATCTGATAAATAATACCATTTTCGTATACGAATGTGTATGAGGCCTTACACATAAGACTACGTACCTGATAAGTAAGTGTCGTAAAATGTTATTGTAAAAGTGGAGACCAATAATGCAGGGGCGTCTGCGGGGATGTTTTTTAAGGCCCAATTACTAAATTCTTTGCAGAAGGCTAAATTAATTCTCTGGGTCACCAATAGAGTGCCTCGCGATATCCTTTACTTTATTAAACTGCTTACTGCTAAGAAAATCCTCATCGTCCCCTTCCAGGCATGCCACAATTTTCTATTGTAGAATGAAACTAGGTTTGTATTTTTCTATCTGTGCTTCCCACTGAGACATTATGTTAAAAGTTAATAATTTCAACGGGAAGACAATAGACAAGTTTTACTCTATAAATTTGTTGCAGCCTACCAAGGTGATTAGTGTTTGTATTTCTCAATCGATGCTTTCCACTGAGAAATTATTTATAGCAGGTGTTGATAAGTTCAACCTAGCAACCCCAACTGGATAGACAGCATCAAATTCATAAATTCATAGAGGAAAACTTGTCTATTGTCTTCTTTTTGAACTTATCAATGTTTGATATAAATACAGTCAAAATCTGCTATAACGACACCGAAGGGACTACTCATATTTGGTCGTAAAAACCGATAGTCGTAATAGCCGGTGACGTTATTATTAAGTACTTAATACCTATTATTGAATGTATGATTAATGTATTCATATACAAAATAAAACTACATTTTATTTATTTTACATANATATATATGTTGATGTATTACATCTACGTGTAGTGCATATCATAAATATGTCATAGTTCAGGACCAGGGATGATTGTGAAATCTGCAAAAGTGTAATTCACATCAACGCCATAGTCCCTTTTAGAATAAAAAACTCATATATTAAAAAGGCAACAAAATAATCTGCACGAAGGAGCGACCCTTTTCTTTCATTATGTTACAAATATAACGTTTAATGACAATTGCACCGTACAGGTGGTTCTCTTGAAGTTGTTTGATGGCTGCAGTAGGACTGGCCCGCGGTTCCTTCTGCTGTGACCAGCCAGTGTTGGTGCGATGGTGGTGTAGTTACAGTCGAAAATAAAAAGTACTTTTTATTTTGTCTGGTCCTGGCGGAAAAGTAGTCGTCGTACGTTGGCTGTGTCTTATATGTAAATATTTTGCAGTTCTTTTTATTAGGTAAAAATACAATAAAAGTGACCATGCTTGGCCACATCCACATCCGATAAAGGTAGGTCGAAATTGCGAAACGTGCCACATGAGAGTTCGGCTATGTCCTTCATTTCTAAAAAGTCCTTTTCTTGTGCAGTATGTAACTCCAAACAGTTTTGTGTTAACTACACAATGCTTTGTTACAGAAATTAGTATGAATGTGCCAAGGGACCCTTATCATTACAACCAAACTATTTTACAATTGCGACAAAATTAATCAAACAATCTATCTTTTACAGAAAAATAATCTACTCAAAAATTTTCTGAAAGTTAGATTACCCAAATAGATACTTTAAAAGGTGTTTTTTTATAAATAATAAAATATGTTAGGTTAGTTATAAACATACGAATGTTGAAAAACTGGCTCAAGTAATGTAACTTCTCCCATTGAGTAGAAATATGCCAATCTATTGATTTTCTTATTTTATGAGTGAAAATTAAAATAAAAAGATTTTTATTTGGACACGCTCTAGGTCAACGATAAGCAACTAGCGGACCGCGGAAGGTCAAAAACTATACCGCCAAAAATTTTTTGAAAGTAAATTACTTAAATTATTCAAAAAATGTTTTTCTATAGTATATCTGAGCTTTGAGCACCACTCTTATCATTAAGGTGCTTTTTGTGGACCTTGACAAAAAATTTCAAAAACATTCTGACCCCACCTAAAATTATAGTACATTGATATCGCTATCTACTTGTAGTAGTTTTAAAAAATTGAACTGACCAACAACTTAATCCGTTCGTATTTTTATACTGTTTATTACAACATGTTTTCGTTTAAATAAAATTGTTATACATAGATAAAAAAAATCTATTTTTTTTTTTGTTTTATGAGATACGTACACGTGAAGATGTTTTTTTTTTCATTTTACTGCTCTATCTGCCAAAAGAACATCGTGTAATGTGGCACATATATTATAACGTATGCATGTATGTAAAGTGATACCAAATATTGAGACGTTATTATGCATGTGTGCATATATTTAAAGGTTGAAGGAGGTGTTAACCTTGAACCGTGAATACATTTGTATCTTGTTTCCAAATATGGAATTCAATTTAGATAATAACGCAAAAAAAATGTGTTGGCTTGATGATTTTGAATTATATAGAATTTTTTAGAAGAGTTTTTTGAAAAGGAATAGACATTCACTTGCTGTTGAATTCCTTGTTGAGAAACATTGAAAGTTTTATTTCAGGGCATCAAAAAAAGTACTTTCATCGACATTATTTTCAGAGACGGTAATTTCCCTGTTTTGTTAAATGTTTTGGAAGTTACATATTTCAGATAATATTTTCTACAAGCTGAGTTATGAATGACACGTGATACAAAACAAACTGTTGTTGTATTACTGTTTTTAATGTTTAATTATAAATAGAAAGTCATCAAAACATAATGTTTTCATACACGAATTTAATATTTCATCATTTTCCACGTTTTGAAAAATTTTAAATAGTTCAATGAGAAAAGTCAGTGTTCACACTGTCTAGCTTTTCCCATTCTCTTTGTAAAATCAACCCTTTATTAACAAATCGACTTTAGACTACTGAGAAAACATGTAAAATGTACTCCAGTTATCATCATCCCCATCTAAATCCAAAACTTATGAACAGCCTGCCAAGAAGTATTGACGTGGAAGGAGAATACTCCATTCAGGAACAATCTTTTCCCAAGTATTATGTAGATATCTATATACTGAAAAACAATTTAGTAAGAACCAGAAAATTACAGCAACTGTAATGATTTTTTTTTTGCAATGTCCAAAAATCGTACTATAGTAGCAAATTTTTTTAAACTTATTGATTTATTTTAAGAGTTTTCTGGTGTAATTACGCATCTACTAAACTATTATCAAAGTTCTTTCAAAAGTCTTTAAAAAATACTAAAAAAAAAAACTGGGGCGTATGTTATTTTTCATCACTACCCCTCCAAGGAACTGAAGTAGCAATCGCGTTCATCGAAAGAAAATTTGGAAAAGCCTTGTAAATTTAAAATAGTTATCCCTATGAGAGCGAAATTATGAGGTCTCCTGTAATTAAGAACTTTCAGTGTTCAGGTCATGAACCACTCAAGCTCACCCATAGCTGCTTTCCTAATAATGACAGTCAGAGCCATAGCCAAACAGGGGATGCCGGGGATTCTCCCCCCCCCCCCAATATATGCTCAGTTGGCTTTTTCAATTTATGCTATTAATCAGAAATATGTTAAAAATAGACTTCTTTCATAATTTCAAACTCAAAGAGCTTTCGTGTATACGGGCTGAAATAAGATTACAAAAAGGCGTAGGGACCATAAAAACAATATCGGTCCTTAGTTTGGTATTCATTAAATTCTCGCAGGTACCAAAAATTACCCTTACAGAATCATTAAAAATTCTTCTTCTGGATTTCTGGTCAATATTTCGAGCCAAATACCCGAAAGTAAGACGGTTACTATAAACGTCTTGTAAAAACGGGATAAGGAAAAAAGGAAAATTTGAACATTGCATACGCAATAAACGTTATTGATAAAACCAGAGAATTCCTAATTTCAATAAATCAAAAGCAAAAATGTAAATCTAAACTTATTAGGAAGTACCAAAATTTTTGCTAGAAAAGTTGAAATTAATCCAGAGTAGGATTTTCAGACATCACCGAAAACGAAGACTTCCGGGTGCATGTCCAATGCATCTAACTTTGATATGAATATGTTTTATACAAAAGAATTTTTAAACGTTCAAGATAAAATTACAAACTTTTTAAGAGGTAAACTTGGTTGTGGTTGTAGAACGTTTGAATTCAATATCAAACATTCTCACAAACCTTTTAGACAAAAAAAATATTACAAGTGAAAATACTGAAAAATTGATTCTGCTCTATCCACCAGATCACATGCTTAAGTTCTAAGCGCTTGTTATAGAGTTAGAGATATTTTTTGATATGTGCAAGGCATCATGAAATTAGCTGTTGGGGAGGCTTTTTGTCTTTGTCTGCTAGTACTTACAGCGAGCTTTTCGGTGGCTTCGAACGAAAAAGCTTTAGTTTACGTTATAAAATTCGACCAGGTTCATTATTAAAGAGGAGAAACTTAATGCCCTAACGATGACAAAAAGCGAAAAAGACATTTGTGATGCTCTTTACCTGAACATGTGGTGAAATTCGATATTAACCTATTGTATTAGGTACTTCTTTTATTAATATCAATATTTTAAGAAAGTTTTTTGAGTTCGATTCCCGGCGAGGCTGTGATAGCAACAACCAACAGTTTTATCTTATTAGCCGAAGTAATATGTAGTGGAATGAAAATAAGTTGATTCAACATTTATGTTTGATAATTATTTTTTATTTATAAATGCAAATTTTTGAGCGTGTGTGTGTAAAACTAGTTGGAAAAATAAAGTATAGTAGTTGGTTATTCGGTTGCCACCCCCTCCCCCCAAAACAGAATACTTCGCTAAGGGCCTGATAAAAGTTATATCTCCCTGAGTGAACTTCTGCTTTACCGTTAACTGTATAATATGCACAATAATTTCAATTTTGTTTTGTAATTTTGATTACAATTCTTTTTCTCCTTTATTTTTAGTGAGTCATCAGTCGACGGTGTTGTTGTTGGTAGTGTCTTCGATTGTATTAACGGTGGCGCTGACACTCGTCACGTGCGTACTGAGCCACTACCGCGGGGGTACGGCGGCCGACCCACACGACGCCAGGCAAACACCGACTACCGCACCCGTAAGTCAAAGAAAAATTTTTATTGAAATTTTAATAAAGATGACTCCATCTGCAGTGGCGGATTCAAGGGGAGGGGGCTATGGGGGGGTGTAGCCCCCCCCGTCGGCCGTACTAATTATTTTCCAAAATATTGTGCGTCACCCTCTCTCTCCCCTTTTTCAAATCTTGCTCGTTTTTAGTAGATATGCCCGCAGGCTACTATCTAAACTATCTATTCAAGCGAAATTTTTGAGTAGAGTAGAGACCGGCCTTCGTCCCTATAATAATATGAATCGATAAGAGTTCGAGTTGCAACTGTTGCTGTATGTTTTGACCATGAAAAATGGCGTTTCTTAACGCACATTTTAAAATCAGTATTTTAACCTCTGCGTATTCTCCTTTAATCTAGTAATCTTTTACTTGATTATAGCGTATCGTTCTCTCATTTTTTTATTGCGAGAATGGTTTTTCTTTATAAGTATTTTCGAATAGTCAAGTTTTTAAAGAAAAAGTTCAAACTTCTCGCTTACATAATATTTCCAGAAAAAAAGAAATTGAATTCATTTGAATTTCACTGCATTTTTACCGTGTTTGTCAGTTCGCCGGATCTGATGTTTGTTTTAACCGGTCAGAAACTGTGGAACTGTAGAAATTGACAAAATAAACCATCGGAATTCACAATGAAAAGGTGATGACTATTTCATAGTTTCATAGCTAGTTTTTAAGAGGTTCACGAAATCAAATTCTTTGATGAGTCTCGTTAATGTTCTACTACTTTTTGTGCAAAACGTACATTCTTTAATAATTATTCCCGAAATTCCTGAAATTAAACAATAAATTACTTTTCGAATCTCTACTAAAATAGGTCATGAAAAGGTCCATGTACTAGACCGTTGTTTAACAAAATCTGCACTGAAAACATAACAAAGTGATATCTTCTTTGTTTTACCATCCATTTTAATACGATTTTCAGTAGGATAGTAATTGGTGATTGTACAAAAAATTAAACCTTAAATATTGCTCTTTTTGGTGAAAATATAACTTCCTATGTACGAATAAAACGCGACCAAAATGTTTAATTGTTTGTTGTAAGACTGCCCAAAAAAGGCTGGTTTTAATATGGCTGTTCCGCATTTTTACAAATGAATCAACCTTGAACCAGTTTTATAGTGAATTACTCATGCGTAAAATGCCTACAGACAGGTATCCGTTCTAAATTCGCGGAACAGCTTTGCAGTCCAGACGCGCTTTCCGTTTAATAGGTTTATTTTTTCTAAATGTTTTGCGGCTAAAAATAAATTCGCGACCGCTATATAGTTACCACTTTATGCGTACAAGCATGCACACAAGTGCAAACATTAACTGTTTTCTTATTAGTTTTAGGGTAAATAGTTGTTCGTTATATTATAGGGCAGGCACATTACAATAAAAACAAAGTATCGGGAAATCGGCTATAAAAAGAAAATGCGTCATGTATTTTTTTTTTTTTCTTACCACCCCTAGGTACCTAGAAACTACTAAGTTTTTCCTTACGATTAAAGTGTACTTTCTCGATTTTGAAATCTAGAAAAATTGTTTTTCGTAGTAAAATTGTAAATAGTCCTCGGCTGGAAAGTGTGGCACCCTCTATTGAGAGTTTGCCAAAACTGAAATACTCATGGAATTGTTTAATTTTAAGAAGAGAGGGATTTTTGTTCTATTAATGATATAGACGTACCGGAAATGTGTGAAATCTAGGAATTCCTAGGAAATGTATACAATTCCGAGACTATTTAGGAAATGTATAGAATATTGTTTCAAAGATTTTTTAATACTCACGATATTGTATTAGGAAATGTATAAAATTAATGCTTTCTGTGAATAAAATGAATAAAACACGTTAGTAAACTGAGAATCAGCGTTATCTGTTTTTCGAAGCGATTCTAGTGCGATCGCCTAATATATATGCATAGGTGTCGTTATTGTTTGGTTAGGTTAGGTTTGGAGATATATATGCATTAGTGACAATATTGTATGGTTATTAGGTAGATTTATGACAGACTGGAGAATAATACCTTGGAAAAGTATGCTTCATTATGATCTCCGCGTTCATATCATATAGCATATCAGTTCACCTCCGACGGGCAGGGGCATTAAAGAAACTCCAGTCTATCATAAATTTCCCTACCCAAATGACGATTGCTATTTAGGAAATGTAGAGATTTCCTAGGAAATATGTCTAATATAATTTATTTCACACCTTTCCGGGCGATTTTAGGAATTATCTACATTTCCTAGGAATTGTATGTAATAACGAATTTCATACATTTTCGGTAATATATGCATTCGAATAATGCTCTTTAAGTTTCTGTCATATCTTGTAAGAGATGCCCACGAATGGAGAATTCCACTCAAAAAATTTAAAAGCCCGCGAAACAGGATATTTAAAAAACAAGACACGACAAACTGTTTTCTCTCGGGTAATATTATCTTGATGGGCATGGCAGATTGCTGTACTTCCGTTAAAAAATACCTTTTCTTCCTAAAACATTTTTACCTCCTTTGACCTAGTGTGAAATTTAAGAATTGTGACATGGTTGGTTAAGAAGAAGCTAATGAAACGGATAAAATGAAATAAAAGATTTATCATCACCATCATTTTAGGGTATTAGTCAAAGATTATCTGTAGAATATTACTGCCTCAGCAATTACCTAAATGCTAAATCGCCCAAAGAAACCATCCATTCCGAACCGGTGTCCCGTACGTAAACAAAAATTTAATCTGTAATTTGAAAACTGACACATTTAAAATAATCCACGTGGTAGTAAAAGTACTACGGGCACTTTTGAAGACTAATCTATCCCTAGGCTAACACCTCATAGACTTGCAAACTAAAAAACTACGGGGCGCGTTTCGGAAGCTCTACATCTATAAAAAGTATGATTTTTAGTGTCCGACCGAAACTAGTTTTTACGACCGAAACCGAAACCGAATTTCGGCAACGGTCTCAATTTCGGCCGAAACCGAAACTTCCTTATAGGGATCATGTTTGGAGAGAAAAATAAAGAAAACGTTATTATAATCAGTCAGTTTTATTTTTTTATCTTTAAATCACATAGCTCTGCAGTCTTTGACATTTTCACTTATTGATAATCAAATCAAAATCAACATAACAACCCCTCATTTAAGGAAATAGGTCAGATGTTTATTTGAGTAAGTATAGTAGACTAGATTCATTTTTCTTTTGAAGATGCGAAATGTCTACTAATCTACTTCGCTTGAATGGAATTTAACGCGCCGAACATGACCGAGCAGAGCGCGAGAACTCCCGAACGCGTTTCGGTTTCGGTGGTAGCTTCGGCAGGTTTGTCGCCGAAACCGAAACTAAACCGAAACTCGTTTTTATGCCGAAACTCGACCGAAACCGAACTTTCGGTCGGACACTACTTTTATCTTAAAAGTGCGTCGCAACCGACTTGTTGTCATAGGCGTAGTGTAAGGGGGAAGAACAGGTGTGAAATGCATACTATGTTTATATAATGTGTTTCAGTATATGGTGCAATCTAGCGAGATATGGGTGGATAAGTAAAATATATGTTCAAAACTATTTTTTATTTTTTAAATCATCCATTAAGTTTTTGATATATAGGTTCATGTAGTAAATAAATTTCCAGACCCGACTTTTGATAGCAGCATTCCGTATATACGGTACCAAAAAGACTCGATTTTCCGATACTTTTTCAAGATAGATTCACCCCAGACATTGCGAGCGATCGACGATCGACCAAAATTGGCCTCGCGATAGACTTGTTGACCACCCCTGGTTTATACCATAATAGTAAAGACAAGCCTAACTGGTGCTGGCTGATACATGACACCATAAACTTTAAAAACAAAATTCTGAAGGGATGGAGCCCAGATAGCATCGATGAAATGTTTATTCAGCCAATTCCCAAACGTTTCGCTATTTTATTGTAACGCCCACGTAATATAATAGACTTAGAGGTATTAGTCGGAGAGTTGAGCATGCGATCTCAACGTCATATAGACGAATATGGTATCACATTCAGATAATAAGGAATACAGAGGATAAGAAACTGTTGTAATGTTTTTTCTAATAACGTCATCGAAAATTTATAAAACTGTAGACCTCGGTATACTTAATTCAATCCCCTTTGGGCGGCAACGTTAAATGGAACAAAAACAGTGGGCTAGTGAGCTGTCCGCCTTCAGAGAAACGAAAGGGCGGGGGGGGGCAACATTTTAGGATAACAGGGAATATAATTTTGAATTGTTATTGATACTAATAATTAATTTAATTTTAATTTTCTGACCACAATCCCTATCACCCTTCTCTAGAAAAATGTCTCATTCCTATAATTACTGTTGACAAATCTAAGCTTCTTAACTTAGATTCACATTTTCATTCATTAAAAAGCTACCATTACCTGAATATTTCGAATAAGTAGGAGGATTTCTCGCCGAAAATTGGAAGCAGGTGAGGTTCGAAGCCAAAAAATACAAAAGTAAACGTTTAAAAGTCATACGGATTGTTATCGGAATTGGGTAGTCATTCGGTGGCATTAACGTAAGAATAATACAAAAGCAATGAGTATCCTGGTCAAGCAAAATCGACTAAACAAACATCGCAGTCGACGAAGTCAGAAAGAGCTTTGCTGTTGGTGTTATTGCTTGCCTGTTCTGCAGCCTAGCTGCTTGGCTTTGCTTGCTCTGCTTCTCCAAGATCCACAAGATCTCAGACCGGTTGTTCCCAGAGCTTTCAACTCATTATACGAAATTTATCTTGGCTACCTGCGTACCGTCTCTGACCAGAATACACAAGCAGATAAAAAATGCTTCACGAGTGAACAAACAATAGACAATCCACAAGTAAATAGGACATCCGCAAGTTAATTATTTATAGAGTTTTCTCAAGTATTATTTAGGGTGAATTTCAGGATTCTAAAATTTGGCTTCACTTTGTCCTCGATCGCATAGGACATCTTCAGGACATTCACTAAACTCAATCCTGAATTTCAGA